AACAATCTCCACCCCACAAATCAGTGCCCACACAGTGTCCAATCTCTCTTTGCTAAGCTCACACACTCCAGTGACCATACAGCAGTATGCAATCACTACACTTTCTGCTGTCAAACACACACACACACACATACAGCACACACCATCCCTTTGTTCCCCTGCAGCCACCGTTGTTGACCCTTTGTCTCCTGATGAAAGTCTGCATTTTATTCAGGGCTTCTCCTGGGAAGAAAGTATGTGTGTGTCGGCTTTGTGTTTTCTTGAGCTTTCTTCCTCCAGCATACACCAGTTACCAGTCACGGACAATGAACTGCTCAGACACACTGTCACCCAGTCAGGCAAATCGAGTCAGTCAGTGTGACAAACATATTTAAAGAGTTGGAGGGCAAAGTTTGTTCCTCCCGTGTCTCTACTCAATCAAGCTTTGTCAAGCCTGGATCACAGTTTTCTACAGGTTAAAAATCTACACTTTATTGGAGTGCAGTCATAACGTATTAGAACAGTGAACTGCCTGGAAGGAGGTCTCAGAAAGCTGTCCACCATATTGTCCAAACAATGGGATGCAGGGAAAGAAAGTGATGTGATGTCAGAGACTTAATGTGTGATTATTTGAGGGCTCACTCATGTTTACTTACAGTACTTCCTGACTTAATGAAATTGTAACATCATCCCTGTAATGATGAAATGTAAAGCAAATGTTCTGCTTTATTTCGCATTATTTCTCAGTTTTTGTGCTCAAAATTTCAAATAATCGTCCATCCATCCATCTTCATCCGCTTATCCGGGGTCGGGTCGCGGGGGCAGCAGCTCCAGCAGGGGACCCCAAACTTCTCTTTCTCGAGCCACATTAACCAGCTCTGACTGGGGGATCCCGAGGCGTTCCCAGGCCAGTGTGGAGATATAATCTCTCCACCTAGTCCTGGGTCTTCCCCGAGGCCTCCTCCCAGCTGGACGTGCCTGGAACACCTCCCTAGGGAGGCGTCCAGGAGGCATCCTTACCAGATGCCCAAACCACCTCAACTAGCTCCTTTCAACGCAAAGGAGCAGCGGCTCTACTCTGAGCTCCTCGCGGATGGTCGAGCTTCTCACCCTATCTGTAAGGGAGACACCGGTAACCCGCCTGAGGAAACCCTTACGGCTCAGCTCTCTTTTTGTCACAACGGTGCGATAAAGCGAGTGCAATACCGTCCCCCGCTGCTCCGATTCTCCAGCCAATCTCCTGCTCCAGTCTCCCCTCACTCGTGAACAAGACCCCGAGGTACTTGAACTCACAGTTGAACTCCTTCACTTGGGGTAAGGACTCATTCCCTACTTGGAGTTGGCACTCCACCGGTTTCCTGCTGAGAACCATGGCCACAGATTTAGAGGTGCTAATCCTCATCCCAACCGCTTCGCACTCTGCTGCGAACCGATCTAGTGAGAGCTGAAGGTCACGGACCGATGAAGCCATCAGGACCACATCATCCGCAAAAAGCAGTGACGAGATCCCAAGCCCACCGAACCGCAGCCCCTCCTCGCCACGACTACGCCTCGATATCCTGTCCATGAAAATCACAAACAGGATTGGTGACAAAGCGCAGCCCTGGCGAAGGCCAACCCTCACCTGGAGTCCGACTTACTGCCGAGTACTCGGACACAGCTCTCGCTTTGGATGTACAGGGATTGGATAGCCCTGAGAAGGGCCCCCCTCACCCCATACTCCCGCAGCACCTCCCACAGTATCTCCAGGGGGACCAGGACATACGCCTTCTCCAGATCTACAAAGCACATGTAGACTGGATGGGCACACTCCCAAACCCACTCCAGGACAAATAATCATTACTCACCAAAAACAATATACCAATATAGCGATTTGACGAGGCTGCATTGTAGACAAATGTGTGGCTGTTTCACATAGATTTACAAATGTAAAACTCCTGACAGCCAATCACAACATCAAATCACATTTCTTGAAGTCCACACAATACATTGTTGAGATTTGGGAGGTGTCCGCCGCTGTAGATCCTCTGAGACGTGTATCTTTGAGCCATAATTCTAGCCTGAGACTCTGACACTTGCCAGGTACTCCAGTTCTTTGTTATTTTCCTCCAGTTTCTTTCCTTATACTTATTTTTTCCCTTTGTACTTCCTTGAAGTGGAGTCATAAAGCACACATTATTTGCTTAAGTTGAAATGTTTTAAACCCACACAGACCTCAGTTCTGTATAAACACACCTGATAATTGGTATCCCAACATTGGATGTGAAATGAAACAATATTCTATTCTGAGCCTGGATTTACTGTATAGTCACAAATTACCTCAGAATCCAGGCAAAAATGCCTTTAGTGCATGTAAAAAGAATGTAAAAGATTTTCCATATGGCTTCTTTGTTTTAGGTTAAGATGAAAGGAAAGACAAGCACAATGGCTAGCCACCATAGATCAATGCAGAAAATAAAAATTGTCTTCTCTTCTGTTCCTCCTGTTTTCTACCAATTGACACTGGTGTCCTGATGAGAAGCCGTTCAATACATTTCATTCAGTTCCACTCCAGGGAGGAGCTCCCTCTGCACTCCATTGAGGGCCATTATGTTGTTTGGCACCGCAGAGCTTGTCACACAAGTCAGAATTTACAATGGTTCAGGTTGTGAACTGTTCAGGGTGTCACTGGGTTGTTAAACACATGCAGGCACATACAGCAGACTAATGCACAATTCTGAGGAGCAATAAACCCTGACTCATCCCATACCCTGTAAACTGTAAGAATATATTAGACAGAACTGCATTTCTCTTGATTTAATCATGTGTGGTCTGAAATAGACCCTTGTGATTTAACTGTTTTATACATTCAGCTGTGCAGCATGAGCTCATATGTGCAAACCTGGCTTGAATGTTCAAGGAAAACAAGTTAAGTGACAACAGCATAATTGGGGAAGCATACACCTTCTATTATATGTAATGCCAAGGCTCAGTCATTCCCAGGTTGAAAAAAATGAGTGTAACCATAGGCTAATATTCATTGTATAAATTAAATGAATTGAATTAATATATCCAACGAAGGTTAAACTGGACTTGGTTGAAGATATACCTGGTTGAATATGGACTTGGTTTCTCAAAACCTGATGAAAATTGTTTGTGTGGTATTAGTTTTTAGTTAGTTTAATTAGTTGGGTGGTGATGGAACAGTGGATAAGATGCCTGCCTTTGGTGTGAGAGACCCAGGTTCAATCCAACCATTGTGTACCTGAGCAAGACACTTAACCCCTTGTTGCTCCAGAGGCGTGCGACCTCTGACATGTATAGCAATTAATTGTAAGTCGCTTTGGATAAAAGCGTCAGATAAATGAATAAATGTAGTTTAAGCAGACTTTGTTTGTCAGAAATCCAGGTAATTCAAAAGGGCTCACATACCTGCGTCTATATATATATATAAAATTTGTTTCTCTCATTAAATCCAAGGTTTACATACTTTTTTTCCTGCACTGTGAATGTTTACACAGTGTGTTCAACGAAAACATGATAAGTGTTAGTGTGGTATTAGTTTAAGCAGACTGTGTTTGTCTATTGTTGCGACTTAGATGAAAATCAGATCACATAGTTTTTCCTGCGCGTGTATATTTATATAGTGTTTCCCTTTGTAGTGACACTGTACTCTGTCTATAGTGCTGAAACAGTCAAACACAGTCTGTCTGGATGTCTCTGAAATTACTCCCTATTTACTAGTGCACTATATTTAATCTCCAATATGTACATTTTGCCCTTAAAAAATCCCCACAATGTAACAAAAAAGTAGTGTCAATGTTATGTTCACTACTTTATGCTAACAGCATTACCTCAGTGAAGTCTCAAAGTGGTGATTCATCCATCCATCCATCCATCGTCAACCGCTTATCCTGCGTACAGGGTCGCGGTGGTGATTCATAACTGTCTAAAATCTCAATTTACTGCCTACTATGTCAGAGTGTCTTTTGCACAGGGAGAAGTGACTTACTGAGGAAATAATTTCACACACAACCCCTCTCTTTCTCCATGTGGTGCTGGACACCCAGTGTCTGTCTGTCCCCCTGGTCCTTTTATACACTACTGCCAGGAGAATAAGCACTACCTTTGGTACTACCACACATAGTTGGTCGTCATGCTGTACTCACTACACAAAACTAACACTCACCATCGCAGTTATTACATACGAAGCAGCCATGGCACCACCTTAAAGGATAATTTTGGTATTTTTATACATGGGATCTATTTTCACATATTTTGGGGTCAAAATGACTGGGAGGTACAAAATGTTTTAGAATCCGTGCAGTAGTAGTAGACTGCAGTGGCTGCAAAGAATCCCAATCTTTTTGTCACTGATGGGCTCAGAGTTACACCAGGTGTCTGACAACATCATGGAAAGGCACGCTCAAATCTCGCCCTGAAATCTTGTGAGAGGCGAGTTTTTGCAAGAATTGCTGGTGGAAACGAGGGAGATGAGTACGTAGAGGAGCTGCTAGCAAGATTTTATTTCCAAACATTACCCCAACACAACAAGCTCCTCTCTTCAAATCTGACTCACGTCTCCACTGACTGAAGCCATCTACTGCACACAAACTTTTTGTACCTATAAATATGTTAGAGAAGGGCCCAGCCCAGGTTTAAAAATACCGAAATTATCCTTTAACAATCAAGCAGAGACCCATTACAACTACCTAGGAGTGTTCTTACAACTGCCTAAAACGCCCAACTGTTGAAAATCAACAACTAGCAAGAAATCTAATGTAAGTAGAGCTATGAGCTGTACCGATGCTATGCCATTTATGGAATTTTGGTTATGGTGATACCTCAGACAACATCTTGTTGTTTTTTAGAAAAAGGCAACACGCTTTTATTACACTGTTGGATTTTTGTTTTTTGCTAAACAGTATGTGATCACAGCTGAGAGATGAGAAGAAAAGGGATGGAGAAAACTGTGGCAAGTGGAGAGTCTCATTTTTTTTGTCCTTTACTGTGTGTGACTGTGTGTCTGCTGTGCCTTCCAGGTCACCAGTGATGGCAGGCGGACTGTTTGCTGTGGACAGGAAGTGGTTCTGGGAGCTGGGAGGATATGACACGGGTCTGGAGATCTGGGGAGGAGAACAGTACGAGATCTCCTTCAAGGTAAAAAATTTAACGCACTAACACAGAGTGTAGTGTAAAAAATAATTTGACATCTGCGTTGACATGAATCCCAACAAGTGAATGGCTCCTTCCATCTTCCACTCTTATTGAATATTATCTGTATGTGGAACATAATGAGCATTGTGACCCATGCAGTGTTATATATATATATATTTCTTGAATCTTTGTGCACATCACTGTATATTCAAGGTTCCTCCAGAGCTCCTTCTAGTCTAGTTAGGGTGATTGCTGAGTTCAGATTCAACTCTTTCTCATTTCATTTAATGTTTATTCACAGCTTATTAACTGAATAGCTAAAAAAAAAATACAAGCTTATTTAGCCCATGAGACATTCCTCATTATTGGTTATGGTTTGAACCAAACATGCTCTCTAGCATGGAAGACTCTCCACGTTAATCATACTCAGAATAACAAATTAGATTATGCTTTTGTCTGGTGCTTCAGCATGAATTATTCTATAGCATAGCCAGAACTGCATGTGACTTGGCCAGCATGTTAAGAACTAATCTCCCCTTCGTCTCTGCTGCCTCTGTCAGTGAGCTCTGGACAGACAGAATGGCCCATCACAATAATTGAATTTTGCTTTGAATGAGTAAGGACTTTTGTCGTCTCACTCAATTAAGCACAAAGACCACTGCTGGGTAGTTCATTTGATTGGACATATGCTGCAGCGTGATGCTAAATGCTGTTCCTTAGAGTGAAATTTCCAGTGGAGTGGATTTGTTGTTTATAAAAATTGAGCATCCAAATCAAATTACTGTCAAATTGTTTTACCCTCTACTTCTTCTAGCTTTAATTTCTGCCAGTATGCAGGAATCAGGTGGAGCCTGACATGGTCAGACTGTCCCAGTGCAGTGTGGGGACAGCGTGATAGGCATTGCTTACCGTGGGGGAACCTAGGGCTGGGCGGTATATCGGTATAATGAGGTACACAGTTATAATTTCAGAAGAGATATACAATTAGACAGTACCGTTTATACCTAATATAGTTTGATTCTGAGTTTCCCTTAAGTCCTGCCAGCGTCTCTCTAACCACGTGGAGGAAGACACATTGCAGAAACACTGCTGAAGACCTGGCTTGTAAAAAGAAAAAAACAACAGTTCAGTCAGTGTTTCCCACACATAGCCTACACTTTATTTCAGCGGGCCGCCCAGGTTAGGCAACACATTGTAGCATCTATCAGAGAAACATGGAGTTATTACGTTACATGTAGCACCACGGTGGATATTTTACATGAACGGACCAGGGAAAGCAACAGTGAACACACCAGTCAGATGTCATTCGTTAGCTACGTCGTAAACACGTCTCCTCAAAATGTGCCGCAGCTGCTGCTGTGAATGGAATCGCAAGTGGAAAAGTCCAGAAGAAAAGTTCTGTTTTTTGGGGGACTTTATTTAACATAGCCTACAACTGATGGAGAAAGTCACCAGAGCAGACTTACAAGGAGAGGGAGAGATTGAAAGAAGCAGGTCACGCTGATGTGATGTCAGCAGAGGAGGCGGATTCAAAATGTGAGTGACACTTAAATAAGGAGGAGAATGAAGTATAATTAAAATCATGAAATAAAAAACAAGATACTACAAATAGTAAAAACGTGCCAGCTAAACACAGATATATATTTTATATCAGAATTATATACCGGGATATGACTTTTTGGTCCATATCGCCCAGCCCTAGTGAAACCATTATCTAAAATATTCTCCTCTGTGATCAGACAAGCTCATGGCTGAGATTATCTTTGTCTCCGGGTTTGTCTGCTCCACACAACTGAACCTAGTTGGCAAGCATGTGCTGTGCGTCCTGCACGTTGGCCTGCGGTGGAATGTAAATGCCGATCAGAGTGAATGAAACAAACTCACGAGGGCAGTAGGGGAGTAGTTTTTCCCCTCCAGTAGCTGAAGTTCATCCTCTCTGTGCAACAGTTGCTGTTTTCCCTGATGTCCGTGTAGCTCCAGGTATTACAGCAGAAAACTGAATTTACAAACTTAACAAGACAAAACAACACGCTCCAAAGCACAGAGGAAGCTACCCATTGCCCCATCTTCAACAAATGTCAGTTGATGTCAGATGATGTCAAATGTCACAATTGACAGTTGTGAGAGGATCGTAACCTGTTTTCTTGACCCTCAAATCACCTTGTCTGTTGTTCTAGACTATTGGTTAAGCGTTCAATGTCGATGCTTGTTAAAATCCATCCTAAATTCAAATGTATTTTAAAAAAGGCTTAAGTAACAGTTATTTAGACTTGAAGCATATTTTAGCTTGTATGTCATTGAATGTTATGAATATCTTTCTTTGTAAAAGCTGGCTTAGTTGGGAGTTGAAGTTAAGTTTATAACAGATAGATTGGAGTTCAGATAGTGGAAGCGGCAACAATGCATATTTTCATTCTTGTTGCAATTATACTACCTTCCCTGCCCTGAATCTTTGTCCTTTCAATGAAAAGACTTAAACTCTTAAAGAAGCATCGTTATAGGTACCATGTGGACTTTTCTTACCAAAAGCCGATGTGTGTATAAGTAAGGCCTAACAAACATTAGAAAAGCCTCATTTTGGAGTCATTTGAAACCTGCATTGTTTAAATCCATGTTTGCTTTCTTGCAGTCTGCTTCTTCCTTAGCATTTTAATGCCACCAATGTTTTATCAGCAGAAAAATGTGACGGCATCTGCAGGAATGTGTGTTGCATTCATGCCTGCATGAACGTGCACATGAATATGGGTCTGCATGTGCTGAAAGATACTAACAAAACAGGGACCCGTTGAGAGAACAGTGCTCCATAGTGATACTGTTGCTCAAAAACTCCACAGGCTACTTTAAGTATGCATGGCCATCAAATTTGGTTTCTCCAGGTAACACTTAAAGCAGGTTTCTCTTTGTCTATTAACCTCATCAAGGAAACCACGGGCCTCATTTGCACAAAAATTAGGTTACTGCCAACAGATAAATAATCAGATAATCACTCATCATTATCACTTGTATGTAATTGCTGTTGATGTTGTTGAGGGAAATGCAATCTCAGTTGTAGAATATTGAATGGCACCAATGTCATTGCATTTTGTAACTTGTTTTTGAAAAGCACTAAATTAAAGTTATTATTTTTAGAAGAGATCGTAATGGCGTTGGTGTGGTTTTAGTCTTCATGGTTTGAGGTGAGCAGATTGTAGAGGTCGTGTTCGAGGTGAGTAAGACTTTCAGTTTAATCTTACAGATGCTGAACTCAAGCTCTTGATCCCTCCTGCAGCAAGTCCCTCCTGTTATTAAGCTCAAGTGTTTCAGTCAGGAATGAAGACGAGAGAAGGGATTGCCACAGCAGGTCCGACCTTCCCTACAGCGAGATGTGGAGAGGGTGGATTCAATCTGTTATTTCCCCCGATTCTGTTTGTCCAAGCTGGAGTGGTGCAACAAACCTGACAAAGAGTAATTGAATTGAAATAGCAGCCAGCTGATGTCCACTCTGGAGGATCAGGGGAGGGGAGTGATGCAGAATATCAACAAACTGGAAATTGCCATGTCCAAAACAAAAGTTCATCGGTCAGGGAAAGAGCAACACCTTCCTCTCATTATTGACTCAGTGAGCTTCCCCTGTGATCAGTCCATGCCCATCATCAGACGTGTTCTTGAGAAAGACACTCTACTCTGAGGTATTGGAAGTCAATCTGAATAAAAGCACTACAGTAGCAAAATTGTAAAAAAAAAAAAGAAAATAATGACTTGTGGTGTAGTGTAGTTATCTGTACACGAAGAGAGAGATTCTAGTCACGACGGTAGTAGGAGTAGCTTGCAAGATCTGGGAGCTTGTGGAGGACGATATGCTGTGAGGTGGCAAGAGAGGTCAAGGGAAGTATGAATAACCCAGCATGGGTGTGATCACAGTCACAAGAAGTCTCCTGCATCACAGTTTGTTTTTTGGAAAGTTTAACATGGTTGGATGGGATGTTATTAATTTGAATGATGGAGAATACACTGACATGCTGCACAATCAATTGAAAAATACACATTGTTGCCTATAATTTTATAATAACTGCATGCTTTTTGAGTTTTTTAACTTACCATTTCGGGCAACCATTGCTTTCCATTTATCCCTGTGACATGAATTTTGAAACGACAACAATGTTTAAATTGAAAAGCTCAAGCATGTTTAACAGTTTAAAACAGTAATATTGTCCTTTCTCTGCAGTTCTGTACCTGCCTAAGCAAGAGCTACTGTAAGCTATGTCACACTTTCATAGATTTCTGCAAATCTATGAAAGTGAGACGCATAAGTTGAGCAGCGCTCTGTCAAGTGTTCAACTGCCTGACCTTCAGAAAACTGTTCTGTTCCAAATCACCCAAAATCTATCTTTTAAATTTCAAATGCTTACATGTTATAGACATAAAAGGTGTCTCTGCCTTCCAAAAGTAACAAATCAAGTCAGTTTTTGTGATTCAGCTAAGCATGACTGACTTGTTCTCTTTGATGTCATTTACTCGGTCTGGTCTCCATGCAGTCCAGAAACGCATGAACTTTGGAGTCATTTTGTCACTTTTAGTGGTGTTCTCACTGCTGCTCTCCTCAGAAGAGGATTAAAGGTTCAGTGTGTAATATTTCTGAGGATCTAGTGACAGAAATGCAATATAAGATCCATAACTATGTTTTCAGTGGTTTATAAAGACCTTATGCAATAAACCATTATGTTTTTATTACTTAAGAATGAGTCACAACCGCAGGCCCCTCCTTCCTTGGACGTTGCCATATTGCGTCGTCATGTTTCTACAGGTGCTGAAAACGGACAAACAGCACTACAGAGCGCGTTTCGTCACTACGTTCCTCTTGTTCTACATCTGATAGAATTCAGGCAGTGTAGACGCTCAACACTACGAAAGAAGAGAAGTAATAATATACAGCAGGGGTCTGCAGATAAGTTTAGCATCGGAGTGATTTTTGAAACCATTATATAGAATATAAGGCATAATATTTGAGGACATTGACGTGGAGTTTGGTCAGCTCAGTTGTTAAAGTGCAGGACTCGGCTTGTGTGTTTGATCCCACCTCAGGACAACTTTTTTTTTTTTCTCTCTTCAACAAATGGATTCTGCAGTGACTGTTTTTCAGGATCACAGTATAGTAAACAAGCTTCTCATGCTTATATTTTGTAGGCAAAACTACTAAAGAGGAAGTGAGTAACTGTTGCTGTCATGAGATCTGTTTCAGCACCGCCATCAAAGTATTTATTTATCTATATTTTATGCCGCTATCAAAGCACCATAATCTGGCAGCGGGCCAGATATTATTGTTGGCGAGATTTGGCGAGGGTCTATAGTCACAGAGAGAGTAAACATGTTTCACTTGTCAGTGTTTGTATAAAATTTATCTAATGTGTGGTTTATAATGGACTGTGGTGCAGAAACAATGACAGTGTTTCACACTCATGTTATCTGTCAGTGGCCAAGTCACAATAACATATGGTTTTACTGAATAATTAAATATAATTTCTTAGTGCATATACCTACAGAAACCTCATCTTGACTGGCCACTCTCTGCTGTCTCAGAAGAGACACCTTTTGTCCTGTGTCAGCCACCGTAGCTGTCCTACACTCTTTAAAAGGTTAGGGGGGCTAGTGGTAGCCTGGACAGGTGGTTGCAATTCACAACCTCACCGTTAAATGCCACTAAACCTTACACACTGAACCTTTAATATCTGCAACTGTTAAGCTTTTGTCTAACCTAGCAACATATTAATCTGTCTGGACTCAGGAACCTCCAGGTCTTAAAAGTGAAGCCAATACCTGCATTATTTCTAACAGCCAGCAGGGGGCAACTCCGCTGGTTGCAAAAAGAATTCAGATATGAGGCTACTTCTCAGCTGATTTATTCCCTCAGTAAACTCTTTCCTGATGAGTTTATGGTCTCAGTCGCTAGTTTCAAGTCTTCTTCAACACAGCATGATGTTCATTTAGTAAATTATGGTCCCATTTAGAGGAACAGAGACCAGAAAGCAGGGGAGGCTTTAGGGCGGGGCTACAAGATGATTGACAAGTCTCTACCGTGGTGAACTGTCAGGCATAGCAATGCATATCCCTCCCCATCTCCACCCACTTTTGGCTCCAAAAAACCAAAAGGGACGTCTTTTCTACAGTCTATGCTCTGACTGTACTGCATCTCTACCTCTTTTTACTTTTCTATTTTCCCAGGTGCACCCTCTCCCTCCTTGTATCCATGTCTCCAATGATTCATGACCCAGTCAATGTACCCTGCAACAGCGTACACTGCTCCATGTCCCCTCTGTTTCAGTCATCCACCCACTCCATCCATTTTCCCTTTCTTTACATCCTAACCTTGTTTGCTCTCCATTTCTTTGTCTCCATCATATCTCCGAGCGCTTTGTCTTTCTCACACAGTTTGTTTCATCCCTCTGATTTGTTGACCTTGTTAGCTCATCTGATATTCAGTTAAACAAACACCAGCAAAGCAGCTTTGACCAAACCCCCCCGCCCCAGATCATCTTTATCACTGCTTAATCTCTCCCTCTCTTTCTGTAGGTGTGGATGTGTGGTGGTCGGATGGAGGACATCCCTTGCTCCAGGGTGGGACACATCTACAGGAAGTACGTCCCCTACAAAGTTCCCGGTGGGGTCAGCCTGGCGAGGGTGAGTCTGGATCATGTGAATACAAAGTCTTTCTATGCAAACAATTGGTCTAAAACACCTGTGGGGAAAGTGTCTTTATTTCCATTCCTTGTTTGTTGCCTTTGTTTATGTTTCTACACAAACATGAAATGTTTCACATTTTCAACAAGAAAAATATGGAGAACAATTAAATATTAAAGAATCAATTTACCCAAATTTAATAAATAAAAATATATTTTCTCACTAAGTGGATTCTAGTCATGCTGATAGCTTCAGATTTCTATCACCAAGACTTCTGCTTCAACTCCAGTACAATGCAGGTAAATTAATTGATTTTGATACCCAGCCCCAAATATAACTGAAACATGTTTGGGTAAAGCGGCACCTCAGATCAACATTTCAGTTATTTTTTTTACATCGGGCACCACCTTTCATATCTTTTGCAGTGGACGTATCAAACCCTGTATCCACATTTTACAGTTTTCTAGTAATGAGCTTAAATGTCTTTATCCCATCTTAACCACTTCTACACAGTATGAGAATTTATTTTAAATTGTCCATGTGGCCTGTAGCTAAACACGATTCACTATGCATGACTCAGCCTCAGTCTGACACCTGGCTCTGTTTGGCTCAGCTGAATATGTAATTAAACCTCTTGGCCTTTGTTTTTGTGGGTCTGACCATTAGAATCTCACTGAGGCTGTATTGAATGCCGAGAGCAAACAGGCAGCAAGTTTAACAATACAAAAATACCTACTGTACTCGAGGCTGTGATGAATTCTGTGTTGTCCCATGTGTCCTTCTCTGCATAGTAATTTAAAAAGAGTCAAATATAGAAGCAGGCCTTTCTCTTTGAAGTGATTTGCTTTAGTTGACTGGATAACCAGTGTGTTTGTTTGGTAATGACAGGAATGGATGAGACTGCAGGTCACAAATACAAACCGTTCTAATATGATTTGGTTTTTTTAATTTCTGGTGTGATTGAAGTCAGATAATGAATCAAGGACTGTTTGTTTCCCTACACAATGGGGGCTGAACTAACTGACATACTATTAAATGTACATTATAGCTTCAGCTGATGGTGGAGAAAGCTTTTTTTTTGCAAAATAATAAAAAGAGACAAACACCGCTGTGTCTCCCATCAAAGAGGATGGTCTGAGGTGTCGGGATGCTTCATTTAAGTCTGTTTTTTAACAAAGGTGCAGATAAAAAAAAAACTGTTTTGAATGTTTTGAAAATGTTTTTTTACAAATAGCAGCCAAAAGCAGCAACAAAACAAATTACACTCAAGATAGAAAATAAAATGTTACGAATGCAAAGAGATTTATTGAAAGTTTGGGTGCAGATACAGGGTCTGCTTTCTCCCAAGCAGGAGAGCTTGTGAAAAAGGTTTTGTTGGCGGCTGAAAGAGGAGGATGAGATTTAGGCTAATTTTCTTGTTGTTTTTGGCCATTTAATGTGGACACAGTGTTGTCATACATAAAATGTATTTTGAGATATTTAGAGGATTTTTATAGCTCTGGATGGTTATCACAGCAACTTTAATTTTATCATCTGTCGCAATAGTGTTGGACACCGCGTCTTACGGGATGATGTCAGTGTGTTGCGGCAAAAGTTTTCCCGTTGTCAGACGGGGTTAAAAAAAAATACCGTCATAAACTAAATATTACCTGTGATTATTGTTTTTTAAATGATAATGAGATATAGCCTCTAAAAGCATTTCATTTTCAGAAACAACTCAATCACAATAACATTTAATATGCAGAACTTACCACGCAGATGAGGGGTTTTTACCTCCTTGCTCCCATTTGCTTCCCTGTAACAGTAGCTCTCGCTGGCAAATAAACATTAACATCCTTCACACTTCACCACATCAATCCCTCCCTTTTGGCCTTGTTTATCAACCACATCTTGGTCTTGGTCTTTCTAAAGAAGCTTCAGACACTCAGCTGCCGTGACATTTTACGATTAGCTGGGCTATGGAGCGATATAGTGTACCATTGCGATGGCTAAAGCCAGCTAGACAATGAGGTCATGTGTGTGAGATCAAAGACAGGACTACTAGACAACAGCTAATTAATATATACACTGCCATCGACTGGACAGGGGTCTACTGCAGGGGGTCTACATGTGGTTACTGACAGTGTTGCATCTGAATTACTTAACACTACGGTAGATCGCCCTCAGATTTAATCTGTCAAAATGAGAGAAAGCCGTCAATTTTTTCCCTCATTGCTAAAAAGAATTCAGTCAGTGACAGAATATTCAGTTAAAGCAAGGTAATTTGAAGGTTTACCTATATGAGAAACTGCTGCATTGATTTTGTCCCTTGCTGGATTACTGTTTTGAGAGACAAAGAGTTCGGTTAGTGTACAGTTTTGGTCATGGTTCACCAAGAGAAGCTTCAGTCATGGTTTACAAATGATTTGCCTGAGGTAAGAATTAAACCCAGGTCTTTCTTTGCCTCTATGCTGTTTCAATATCAAACAGCTATTGATTTTTAAGCATTTCTCATCCATTTCATTCCATTGTTTCATGCTGAGAAAAACACTCAGGAGTGCCAGTATTGTCGTCTGTGCACATTAAGATGCCGTAGTTATTTTACAGAACACCTCCCTTCAGCAGGTACAGATACTGAGAACAAAGGCCCTCCAGACACCCCCCCCCCCACCGATTCCAGTCAACATGGAGGGAGACAGAGAACCACTCAGCTCCACTTCACCCGGAGAGCCAGAGTTTTGCTGCAGGCAACTAGCTATGCTACAGGGAGTGTGTGTGTGTGTGTGGCTGGAGGCTTTTTTCCTCTACATCTGTACCTCCAAAGGCTGAACAATTTGTATTTATACTTCCCCGGGAGGCTTGCTGAACCTGTATTCTCATTCATTTCACCATCCATACCTCCAAGGCTGCTTCTATCTGTATTCTCAGTCATGCATCTCTACTGCAGAGGCTCTGTGTTTTTTTTACTACGTTACACCTCAAAGGCTTCAGATGAATGGACATCCCACTGCTCGGGTTGTAAATCTTTCATGTTTGTAATTGTCGTAAAGAAGCTGAAGAAGCTGTCTGCCCTGCAATTATTTTTTTTTACTCCACTCAGACAGTTTCATTCTGAAATTTGATACTCTCAGAATGATTGAGCCAATGAAACCAAATGTTTCAACTTTTTCTTTATCAGTCTTTTGCATTTTGACCAAGATGAAACAAACTACTATTTCAGTTTTTTTCCGTTAATTCCAAGCTGCTTTTGTTGTAGTGAAGTGAGGACACTTGTGACCCGATATAAACATACTCATAAAAAGACATTTAAAGATGAAAGAAGAGCCAAAACTGCATTTGAGGTACACATCTAAGGGGTATCTCTCAACTAAAAACAGCAAAAATGCAAACACACAAAATCAGCTCCCATGCCAACTTGCATTTTGGGACATATATGTAGGCCACACTAGCAGGCAAAATATATAATATAAAGAAGAAAGGATAATTCTGTCATGTTTTGCACGGTTCCTTGTCACATTATTTCTCCCAGGAAGAGGTCTTGTCAAAAGCTTAACAACAGACCTGCAGGTGGCTCAGTGTTAAAATGTAGTTTACATGTTAGTTTAATGTAGTTATACTTTAGGCTTCTATCGACATGACCAGCTTAACTGCAGTGACTTGATAGAGCTTCTGTTCAATAGATCTGTTCGTCTGGCTTCTTATGAATATCCACAATAATACAAAATGTTTGTTTTGGTACACATTTTAGTAGAGCCCGAACGATTTATTGTTCTGCAGATATTATCGGCCGATATGAGCTACTTGCAGAAATAGCTGCATCGGCGTTTATACCAGCCGAAAATGACTATTAAAAAAGAAACGGAGTCTGATCCTTCCCTCACGTCATGAGTGTTGCGTAGTTTGCCCACCAGAGAGAGCTCTGCAGCTCCTCTGTTCAAAATACTGCAGCACAACAGAACAAAACATCAGCTGACCGTAGTCTACTGGAGCTAGGGTGAGGAGCTCCTGGTAGCTCTCGCACTCGGTGTTCACGGTGAGTTGCTCATACGTCACGTCAATTACATGACTTAAATAATAATAAAAAACAGCCTTCATCACTTTTCCTCTCCTGAAAACATTCATACCAGACTTGCTAGCCCTCCCGAATTTCATTGCACTCTCACGGGTCACAGCAGGATGTTTAATGTTACAGTAGGTAGAGTAGAGTGGTGGAGGCTAAGGTTACGCTGACAGACGTGATTGTAGATTCATTTCTGAAATAGTGCGGCACTTCTAGTGAATTGTCCCCTCATTTCTCCCTAGTTCATTACTTCTAAATATTATTAAACATAAATTAGCCACAAAACCAATGCAGTGTTTATCAGTGAAGGAGCACTAACATTAATGAACTATTAAACTATATTGTTTAACGTGTTCTAAATATATCTGCGAGCTGCTTCTCTCTAGTTACAGTCGGTGTGTCAGAAATGGTTAAACCAGAGGGACTTGTGAATAAATGTGAGCTGTACCACTATGTAACACGGCTTCCTGCCTAACAAAGTTCTCTAACGTGACCACTTCTTTTGAATGTGAAACTTTAGTTTGAAATCTTATTATTATTTATTAAAACTTTAATATATTTTGTTGTACTTTTGTTCAAAGTACTATTTCTAACAATAACAAAACTTATTTATATACTGCATTATGTCATGGTATCTTAGTGAGGTCTCAGCATAACAAAATTTTAGGGATAATCTTTGTTTATGTCATGCATTTCTTAAAATGAGGGGGGAAAAAACAAAATCGGCCGATATATCGGCTATCGGATTTTAAAAAACTCAAATATCAAAATCGGTATCGGACTTAAAAATCGCATATCGGTCGGGCTCTACATTTTAGCCATTTCAGCTGATGCTTAATTATGTCAACCCATTGATTTTATCCTTAAACTATCACTTTCAAATTCACCCAAATTTCTGAACATTTAGAAAGACATGCACGATGTGGACAACAGTACCGGGACACCCCTGTCCCAATACTTTTGGTAACGGCTGTTTTTTCATGGTGTGGTCTTTCTTAAGGGAAATTTTGATGCTACAACATGCAATTTTAGCCCCAGTGCACAAAACCAGCCAGCAAGAAATGTTTTTTTTCCCAGTTTGGTGTAGAAGAACTTGACTGGCCCGCACAGAGCCCTGACCTCGACCCTATCCTGTCCCACATCAGCGTCTGACCTCACAAATGCTCTTCTGGATGAACGTGCAGAAATTGCCACAGATAAATTCCAACATCTTGTAGAAAGCCTTCCTAGAAGAGTGGAACCTGTTATAGCGGCAAAGAGGGGACCAACTCCATATTAGTGCCAATGGATTTAAAATTGTATGTTGAAGTAATGTGTAGGTGTCCCATATAGTGTGTAGACAATTTTACTCTGTATTAACAGTGTCACATACAGTACATGTCTTGTCTTGCTTCTTGCACCACTTGTTGGACTACACACTGAGTAAAATATTCAGACAGATCATGTTTTCATGACTATTGAACAGAAATGTTGTAAATGTTTTGGGCATCATGTTTCTTTTCCTAGTAGTGCAGGGAGACATGTTAGTGGAAAATTTGGAGAATTACTAGAATTTAAAAATGACGCTTTTCTGTTTGTATAGATCAGGGTTTTTGGTTCTGGGCACAACCAAACAGGACTACTTCAATCTTTTCATCTCTTTTTATTTACCTTTTTTCCCCATCTCTCCTTCTGGGACATGATGGCAGGTCCTGACTGATGACTAGCTGACTTTCTACTGAGCAGCTTTGATCATTTTGTCATGTCAGATCAATCAAAACATCAGTGACCAGTGACGGCAGGATGTACAGATGATGGCTTAGTCTGTGTTCCAGTAAAAACGTGATGTCCAGGAGCACAAAGATCTGCTAACAAGACAGTTGATGTTCTTTTTACTGACTGACACAGTGAAAAAAAATAGATTTAGCATCAACAATCATGTACACCAAATATACAATATATACATAATATATTAGCAGTATAAGTGATTTAGTGAGTCATCGAAAAATCTGTTGCGTTTTTTGCATCCTCCCATCGCTCATCTTTTCTCCAAACTGTAAACTCTTCTTCCTCCTCCCTCTCCCTTGGATGACACCCTGCATCTGAAAGATAAACCTTAACACGACAAAGCAACATAAAATGCTGGATGTCTGTTTTAATACAAAAAAACAACAACAACACAAAATTTCCAATCAGATCCATCATCATCCAGTGAGAATCACTTGTCTATGGCGATCTACATTTGTGTTGGCATTTACGTTGAGGTAGCACTGTGTGTCAAAGTGTCACCACTTAACTCATCCTTAGAACAAAACATTTCAAACAAGCAATATTTTTGTAATTGCCATTGGATTTAGAGGCTGTGGGTTATGTGAGAGAGCCGATAGTGACAAACCATCACCTTAATCTGCAGTTCCCCTCAGATTAACTGAACATCGTTCAGCTCATTGTTGTGGTTAAATGGCCCGAAACTGTTTTGGTCATCTTTCTCATCAGTGCAGTTTCCAGCACCGACGGTACATTACCTGCCCTGCACAAAACGGCAGACAAAGTTAGAGAGTAGCTGGTGAATAGTCTAGAGCTTCTAGCAGCTGTAGAGACAGATATTTCCATCAGGAAAAACAAAGCAAAAAAGATACAACTCCAAATTAATACTAATATCTGCTCTCAGATAGGTAGGTATTCAGTGTTTGTAGTTTTGTTGATGTGAAAACTTCAAGCTTTCTGTATTGTTGTCTGTAAGTTGTTGGATGTCAGCCAATTGCCTGAAATGTGGAATGAAAACAAAACTGTTCCACTCTGATTTCAGAACCTAAAACGTGTGGCAGAGGTGTGGATGGACGAATATGCCGAATACGTGTACCAGCGCCGGCCCGAGTACCGCCACCTGTCAGCAGGAGACATGACGTCACAGAAGGAGCTGAGGAACCGCCTCAACTGCAAGAGCTTCAAGTGGTTCATGAGTGAGGTGGCCTGGGATCTGCCCAAACACTACCCACCGGTGGAACCTCCTGCTGCAGCGTGGGGAGAGGTACAGTCAGCTTTCAGACTTAAACACATTACCCATCTCAAGAAAAGCTAAAACAAGAGCAAGATGATTCTACTTACGTGACTGTGGGGGAATTTTTAGGCTTAATTCGGACAACAGGTGTGGTACGGGACTTATACAGGTCATGCTCGGGTCTGTCACAGATCCAGAAGTAGAGGCAAACTCTCCCTAGCAGTAGTTTGTGATACTGTTTCTCTCGAAGTTGCTAAACCAGACAGCTGGATATGGATATTCCCTCAGAGCCAAGACTGAAAGATATGAGATGTGTGGTGTAAGCCTTCATTCTTAGCTTCTTAACTGTCTCTGCTTAAAATGCAATACATGTGACCTCCAGATCCCAACGTGACTTGGGTAATGCAGTAGAGTCTAGCTTTCAGTAGGATGGCTACACATATTTAGGCCAGTAAAGAATGACCATACACGGCGTACCAGAGAGATAAATATTGTGTACCAAGAGGGATCCTTCAGATTGCGGTGTTGGCTTGGCATTGTGTTCTCACTCTGAACTCTGATGCTATAATCTCCCCGGCCGTGTTTCAGTAAGCAGTGCCCTGCAAGACATCCTGAGTTTTCCTAAGATCTTCTGAAAATAAGAGTTGACCTGCTGCAAAAAATATTCATAACATGACTTTCACACACAGCAAAGAGTGAAAATGAAAGATGGTGAGAGACTTTTCTCAACAGTAGGTTTGTCAGATTTGAAACCATGACATCGTGACTACAAGATAATCCACCTTTGACATCTAAGTAGCCACTCCCTCCAGGATTTCGCAGGCTTTTTTTTTTTTTCCATTTGTTGCGGTCTAAAATGCCTGATGTGGCAGCAGCTTTTCTGAAAAGTTGTGATGTTTTAGGGTGTTTTCTGATGAAATTGTGGGATTGAATGAAAACTGCATGGTGGAGGTTGTTTTTTCTCTAAAATTATAGTGGAATCATGAAACAGTCCCTCCAGGATTTCGCGGCCCTAACCCTTTATATTCAAACCAGTTTACCTTGATTCTTTCAGCACTTGCAATCGAGCGGGATGCAGCAGCCTGTGTCATGGTGATTTTATCTTGTCTGATTTCCTCCATTCGTTTCTGCCACTCTGTGCATCAGTCAAGATTTCCTTCATGTTCTACCACAATACTGCACGTTTTGAAAAACAGTTTAGTTTGGTAAAGAAGATCGGGATACTGTTTCTCACGGTCCTTGTCGGCAAATGTGAGACGTTGGAATCGCACATGTCTACTGCGACTTGTTAACTAGGAAATGACAAGTCGACGTATGACAATGTTTTGCAGGAAACGGCGATGCTTGGTCAAATTTACAGAAAAGTTGCAGTCATTGGTCAAAATTGCAAGTTGCGCTGAATTCACAGGGATTTGTTGAATTTGGGTTAATAGTTGCGATTGCAACACCGCAAAATCCCGCAGGGACACCTGGGGCCTGCACCACGAAGCGAGTTCAACATACCCAGGATATGTTTTCGTTATCTGGCTTAACTAACCCTAACAATCACGATCTGGATAAGCGGTACCACGAAGCTGGTTATCAACTCAGTAAGTCAATCCAGGGTTTCCCAATTCAACCGGGAGCGCGTTCACATAAAAGAGGCGGTGTTAGCAGCAGATGACCAATCACAGACATGAACAAGTCCACTGGCAGCAGAGCGTCATTTTATGAACGAGGATTAAACTGTAACACTACAGAAATACGGCATGGTCTAAGTAGCACACCTGCATCTGACACATGCAGGGAGACAGTGTGAATGTCTAAATGAACAGGCGTAGTCTATAATAATGCGTTGATTTGATGTGGTCTTATGAGCTGTATGAAAATATCAGCCTTATTCTTTCAGCTCAGCTGTGTGTCGGCGTTTCCACATTAAAAGACTCGGGTCGTTCCACCTCCCTTTAAAACTTGTCGTCGCTTCAAAAAATGAGATTAATTTATTTAACAGACTCAAAAGTGTTCCAAACATTGTTCTAAATTAACTTCATAAAGCAATAACACGAAAAATCCCTTCATGCCATAAAATGTGCTCAAATAGGCTTGTGGTTGAAAGACTCAACATTTAGGCTACTGAAAACGTGACCAGTCTCTGTGAGACTGAGACTAAAATTAATAGCCTACGTTCATATTCAAATTTAGTATTTCAATATGCTACCAAACTGCTCATAATATTCAACCTCAAATAAGAAATAGCCCATATAAGAAAAATGAAACCCATTTATTTGAACGGCTGACAGGCTGTGTGAAACAGACTGGGGAGCAAATAAATTATATAATATTAAAATATTATATCACTATAGACAAGAGCTTCTCCACATCACCGCAGCATAAAGCAGCCGATTGGCTAAAACAGTCTGTGGGCTTTCCTACAGATTGTGATGTCATTTTCCAAGAGAGCTGATTGGTCAGCAGGCGGCGTTTTCATGGAGTTGATCTCTTATCTGGAACATAACCTGCTCCGGAGCAGGTTAGCCGTTCAGTATAAGTTACCATGGAGATCTACCCTGGTAAGAAGTGAACCACCTTCGTGGTGCTGAAAATCCAGGGTTAACCCCGAAGTTACCTGGATAAACTCAAATCCTGCTTCGTGGTACAGGCCCCTGTTCATTTGTGGGGGGTCTTTTGGTTTGTTTTTTCGGTGACAGCCAGTAGTTAAAGTTTATCCTTGAGAGAAACTGCTTCCAGGGCTACGTTTGCTCAACCACGTTTAAAATGTGATGTTTTCTTGGTTTATTTATGTATAGTGATTTGGTATGAATCTCAGTTCATGGTAGTACTAGTACAAATATAGAAATTTGATTTATCTTTCTGTTTATGTTTTACATAAATCGTGATAATAAAAAATACTTTGTGAGCTGGAAAAGCACAGAAAAACACTGTTGAAAACCAGAACGTACATGATCAAATGTTGAATGAGCTTCAGGCATAATTTTTAATTGTTCATTGCTTTAATTTAAAAAAAAATATTGGAAAAGCTATTTCTTAAACTCAAGCAGGTTTTTGCCAGTTGGCTCAAATAATCATGTGTCTGTCGTACCGGGCTGCTGTCTGGAAGTTTGGTCAGAGAGACTGAAAGCACATTTATTTAATGTGAATCTGATAAATGTGCATGTTATTTACACCCGAAACAAACCAAACTATGGGTAGCCTATAATTTAAAAACTTTTATCTGCCTCAACAATTTTGTGTGTAATGTTCTGTGTGATCATGGTTTTATCAGACTTGTTGTATGAATGATATCTGCTAACAGCTGAATGTTCCCGTTTTTGTTCATGACTTTGCCGTTGTGTGTTTGTGTTGTAGATTCGTAGCGTGGGCAGCGGTATGTGTATGGAGAGTAAACACTTTGTATCAGGGAGTCCCATCCGCCTGGAGAGCTGTGTGAAGGGGCGGGGCGAGGTGAGCTGGAGCCACGGACAGGTGAGCAAAATAAAAACTCTTTAAATCCGTCAAAAATGTAGAGTTAGACAACTTAACTTTGACCCTAAATGCATTATAACAGAAGCTGTAAGAAAAGTCCCAAGTTGGTCTGGGTCCAAATGATAGTAGGGTGCTTTTTTTTTTTATTATTATTAAACCTTTATTTAACCAGGAAAATCCCATTGAGATTACTAATCTCTTTTTCAAGGGAGTCCTGGACATTGGACACTGGACTTTTACATTGGAAAGGGTCTCAGGTCTCTTTGTCAAAATGTCAGAACACTGTAGGGCAGGAAAAATGGCATGTTGCTAATGTTTTTGACTGCGGCTGCTTGTTGATTGGTTGAGCATCATGCTGCTGCCTGTGCTGGTGTTCTGTTTGGGTCCGTTCAGGTCGACCGCATTTTAACATAAAGAGGGTTTGTGGTGTTTTCTGGTCCCTTTTAAAATGGTCTCTTGTTGTTTTCCACAGGTCTGGTTAGGATTGGGTTCAGAATTTTAGCTCTGGCTGGCTCCTGTTTTATCCACCTAGCGCATCATGCGCTTTTAGAGGAACACTTTGAAAGCTTGGAGTAAAGAAAGGGGTTTACAGGGCAGACTTTGAGAACACTCAGTGCATTACAAGAGGAATTATGATATGTCACCATTGTTGATAGATTGTCTCCTGAGTAATTGTATTTCTTCGGCTAAACACACATTACAGTCAAATTAACTTGCATAAACACACAAACAGCACACATGCGAACTGTGTTGCTTCATTATCCCCGCATTGTTCTAAAGGAGTCGTTTTTTTTCCCCCTCACACGTCACACTGAAGGTCTTTAAGCCGAGCTCATAATGCAACCATAATAGATTGAATGTCCCCTTTTGTTTCCACAGTTGAAATACTGTGCTTCAGAGCTCCGACAGTTTAGTTGCTTTAATCTGAAAATGCATTGTAGTTTAATCTGTGTCACAGTTGCAATCTGTATTCAGCTCCAGCGAGAAAATTATTCCAAATCACAGGAGCCCCTCCGGCAGGGCTTTTTGATTCTGTATTAGAGGAGTGGAGGAACTTATTCAGGAAGTCTTTGTGAGCTGGAGAAGTGACGGCCACTTGGAACGCTGCTGACTGTCGAGATTTAAATGTATTTATTTTTGTTCTAGATAAGAGATCAAAAACAATAATATTGTTTGAGAAATGTGAACTGATCTGTCAAACTGATACAGAAACAAATTTACACAAGTGCATGTGATCAGAAATAAGATACAACCTGTTAGGCTCTATGAAACTAAAAACAAAAGCCCGATTTTACCAGTTACTATGCATCCTGCTCCTCTTCTAGCTTACTTTAAAAAAATATATACATATATTTCTCTGTTTCAAACAGCAGGAAGAAAAACCAGTCCTGACTGCCGAGTTCACCGTGGTCATTTTATTTTAATGTAACTTTGTGATCAACAGAAACGGAAAATGACAAACAAGTGGATAGAGAGATATTCATTAAGGACATCAATCACAGTGTCATGTGCGTGGTGAATCATCACAATCCAGTTGTAGTTTTTAGATAAATAGATACTGATGATCAGTAAACTTTGTGGAGCTGCTGCAGTTCTTAATGATCCTTGAATATGTTAGTGAATCAATTCAGCACAGTTTTGTGATGTGCCTACAGACTCAAATATAGTCAGATAAAGTGGATATATTTGTACTGAGTTTTTTATTGGTCTGCATACAGCGGTGTGCTCCATTTTTACATGTGTGCAGACACTGAAAGTATAATATCTTCTATGTTAGCTCTGAAGGGAAGCATGGAAGTTCATTCCTTGATGACCTTTGAAATAGAAGCTTGACTAAATAATCCCAACACAAGTTAAATGTAAATGCTCCGTATTTGTATAGCACCTTTTTGACCGCTTTTACTCATTCATAGACTGAGCCTGAGTGCTCAAACAGAAACTAACTCACACACATTCATACATGGGCAATTCAGGGTTCTGTATCTTGCCCAAGGGTACTTTGCCACGCAACCAGGGGGAGCCAGGGATTGAACCGCCCACCTTCCGATTAACGGCCAACCCGCTCTACCTCCTGAGCCACAGCCGTTCCACTTTCAAACTTTGTTTTATTTATTTTTCTTCATCATCTAAGTAATTAATGTTACCTAATGCTTTTAAAGGTTTGTGTAAAACCTTCAAGACTCTTCATTCATATTGTGTTTCTGAATAAATCTGCGATGTACGTGAGCAAAACTAACCATGTTTCTTCTTCACTAAGTCACTAAAAACATAAATGATGTCCCTGCTATGATGTTTTCCACTACAATTCAGCTCAAGATATTTAACCACCATTTGCATGGAAAATAATCCACAACCTACGCAAGTCAAAAAGAACCTTTTAGTTTGATACATTAGATTTGTTGTTTTTATCCACAGAGTCCTCTCTGGTCTGTGATCCTCAGATAAACTCAGAGAGAAACATCAACAGTTACATTCAATGGATTAATAATAATAGCCAGTAACACAATAGGCAGCAATAACGCAGAGCGGCCACAACGCTCGGTCAGAGGAACCTTGAGATTTTTAAAATTCTCCTCAGTGTTACAAAAAGGAAAATGGTATAAAAGACTTTTACTGGATGGACATAATTAAAGTTGAGTGCAAGGGTCAAAGCCAGAGACGACGTATAAAGAACACTGTAGGTATTGACAAAATGTTTTTCCTGCTTTTAGAATTTTAAATCTGTATTACTTTGTTTTTTAAATTACAATAATGGATTTAATGGGAGCCCAGACCTTTTAATTGAAATGCACAAAACAGAACATTTAGTGCTTCATGGCTTGATGGAGACAATTAAAGGTAAAAATGTCAAACCTTTAATAATAGCTGCGTCTCCAATTGGTCTGTTTTTGATGAAAAGGTTGATGTGACTTATCACTGCAAAATGTTTTTTTTTTTGTGTGTGTGACATTACAACTGAGATGTTTCCTGCAGGTGTTCACGTTTGGATGGAGAGAGGACGTCCGGGTGGGCGACCCCATGCACACAAAAAAAGTCTGTTTTGATGCCATCTCCCACAACAGCCCCGTCACCCTGTACGACTGTCACGGCATGAAGGGCAACCAGCTGTGGCGCTACAGAAAGGTAAGGCAGAGGAAAGTGTCCACCGGTGTCAAAGCCCAAACTGTAAACACATTATCTCTGTGCGTCAGACTCTCTTTTCTGAACATTTTGTTCTCTCCCTCCCTTCCTCTTTCTGTACAAAACAACAAAGCTCCAAACATAATTGCTATAAAATAAATTACTTCAAGACTACTTAATCATTCTACAAAGTTTTGCATATTTAAACAGCATCTACCCTGAAGCCGATGGATATTCATAGGACCTCATTATGCTGCTGTTATGCATAATGTCACAAACAAGCTTGTTTGCAGCAGTAAACATTAATACAGCAAACTAAGTTAAAACACACCACTGAAATTAGAATCTCAATGCAATGAAGGAGGTCCTAACATGACAAAGCATTTCTTGTTGCATTGTAAAGAAATGCAGTACATTACATGTCCCCAGCTCTACTCATAATGTTGTACAGTGAACATCTCCCAACACGCTAATGTACGTCTTTGTTACTAAACATTCCTCTGTTCTGAAAGTAAAATATGTTATAAGATGCATACTGTATAAAGTAAAAAAAGGATGGTTTCCAGTCATGCTGTTTATGTGTTGCAGACTTGTATTGCCCTCTGTAACCGCAGGGCTATTCCTTTGTAGTTGGTGAAATGTTCTCAGCTATGGTCTAAGTGGTTCCTTTTTTTAAATCTTTTTTTCTAATTTTGACCAAAATGAATCACAAAAAAAGCAAGCCAGGCAGGTTTAAAACTGGTTATAAATATGTTAACAACTCTAGAACACATCCTCAGCTTGAATGTTTATTCTTGCATTTAAGAAATAGCAGTTTATCAGAACACAAGGAAACATTTATTTTATTTATTTATGTATTTAGTCGATACGAAGCTAACATGAGAGGACGAGACCGTCCCAGAGCAGCACAGCAGCTCCACACCGCTCTCCAGCTGCTATAGCTAACATCACAACAACAGCATGTCTTAGCACACTATAAAGAAAGCTTTATGTCTGTGAGCAAGTCATTAAACGTCACCTGACTGACACACAATGCTGGATAGTGTCGTGTGGCTCGTCTGTTATATTTAATGCAATTTCTTCTCTGCAACACCGGTTGTTCTGATGATATATGCTGCCTTGTCGAAAAATGCTACCGTAGCACAAATCGATAGCAGAGTCTATGGAGTCGCTCTGCCCTATCGAAAAATGCTACCTTATGCGTTCCCATTTCCAATCCCATAAAGGTGTAACTCTCACAATATGTCTGAAGGTTCTCAGTCATCCAGGTCATAGTTGACCTCAACCTTTGTTGGCTGTCACAGTATTATGACATCTTCTGTTTTTGGATTATATTGTAACATCATTTCAGGGGTAGCGTATTCTGACTAATATCCCCTATCAAATAATGCTCCCACTACAGAATCATTTTATATTGCACCACTACTCACTCCATGTGTACTGTCAGGAGATGGGGAGCATGTTGAAATACTATATTATGCCATCTTTATTTAAGATATCAGGTGTAGCGTATACTGATTTGACATTGCTGACGATCACCCACTATCTCGACGGCATGCCCAACAGCAACAGCGTGGAAACAGACCACACTTGTGGGTCATGTGCATGCGCAGAACCACTAAGTAGCACATCAAGTTTGTTTCAAGTTGGATATTTGTTTTACGTTGGACATTCGATAGATGTCAAATTCCAACTTAAAGCTAACGTTACCGCAGTGCATAGCGCCATTCCCTCACCAAAGTACTACAGTAAAGTGTGGTATTTGAGACACAATGAAATAAAAAACGATTGACGTTTTTCTATCGTCATGTTGCACAGCCCTAGTCATCATTAAGCTAAGATTTGTAGAAAATGGGCTTAAATCTGCAAAACCACCATTTTGAGCTTGGATATGGAATTTTAATTTGTTTACAAGTTTTCATTCTTTTGACAATCCTTTTTTGTTTCTTCCTTCAGGACAAGAGTCTGTATCACCCCGTCAGTAACAGCTGCATAGACAGCAACCCGACCGAGCGGAGAATCTTCATGAACACGTGTGACCCCTCCTCCCCCAGCCAGCAGTGGCTGTTTGAGAAAACCAACGCCACCGTGCTGGAGCACTTCAACCGGGGCACCAACTGACTCCCTGCGGCATCCACAAAAACCAGACTCCCGATGCATGTAGTGGATCTGCTGCTGATGCTGTGAAGTGCGGTTTTACATTTACTCTGGCTCCCCGTTTACCTGGCGCTGAGGTGATAGCTGTTTCTCTTTGGGATGCTCAGAGTGAGGCAAGATGGGACACCGTGGGGGAAGTTTGTTAAACACACGAGTTAGAGGAAAGACGGAGTTGAGGTCTGATTGATGGGATTGTGTTGTGACTTTGTGTGCGAGATGTTTTTGTTCCATCACAGCGTCTCTGTGGCGGTGGGTCTGTCTCACTTCCTGATTTTGCTGTTGATTGATTATCTGGCTTTTCTGTCCTCTCTTTTCTCATTCCTTTTGTCTATTTCAAATTTCCTCTGCTTTATCTATTGCCTTTCTTTACCCCACTGTTCCCTTTTACTTCGCCTCCCCGTCTACCTTCATCCTCCGTCTCCATCTCTTTCCCCCCCATCTCTCCTGATCCTCCTCTGCCTGCACGTCTGTCTCTATCTACCTGCATGACTGCATCCTTGCCCACCTTCTCCATTCTCCCTCTCAAATCCCCTTATGTCTCTTCAGCTCTGACAACCTCCCTGGGGGGGCTCCTGCTGAGCCAAAGTCATCCTGACACCTGGGTGAAGTCAGGCAGAACCACTCTGAAAATCACCTGGTGAATTGATTCTCCTTTACAACCCTCATCCACCCTCTGTTCCCTTCCTCATCCCTCTTCCCTCGTGTGCTGACCCCCCCGGCTTGTAGTTTCTCCTCGTCTGCTCTCCTCCTGTCTGTGGCCAATGTCGGCAGAGCTGCTATGAATGTAGCAGGTGGAAGTTGACAAAGAAAGTGTAAGGGAAGGAAACAGCAACCTTTGTCGTGCCCCTGCTCCTTTTTCCTCACTGTATTTATTGATGAGTCGTCCGCAGGTTTGTCACTGTGCCACGTTCTTCTTGTATTCCTCAGAGGAGAACGCTGTCTAACGCCAGCGTTTGTTCGGGCCAACTCTTGCTGGCTAAGGGCTTGTTTTTTGTTGTTATGGTGTTGGTGGTGGTGTTGGTGGTGGTGGGCACAAGAAATGCTGTCACACCTCTTAGCTGCTCCCCACCTGCCTCTGCCAATCAGCCGTCGGAACGACCTTGTCACAGATGGCTGAGCCATGGGGTCACGGCGCAAAGTAGCAGGCAGGACCGCTAATGGACGCCTGCCTGCCTGCCTGGCTGGATGACTAGCTATGTGACTGGCAGGCCAGCTGATTCACAGCAGGGCCGTCTGATTGGCTGACTACCGAGCTGACACATCACTTTAGCTAACTGTGTCAGCAGGAGGAGAGACGAACAGGGGAATTACTCTGGGTAGGCTTGCCGAGGTAGCTCTGAGATTGAGACAAACGTGGGAGTTTTAAATGCATTAAGCACTTGTGTAATGATAAACTTGAATGAAATCTTAGTGCCTTGTTAGAAGAGGACTAGATGTAGGTGTGTGTTATTTCCAGAAAGTGTGTGTGGTCCAAAATATCCATAGCAGCCCAGGGGACAATTCACTCAATTCATGAAGTGACTTTTCTTGAAAACTGAGAATCAAAAGAAATCTCCTGAGTCTCATTTGGAATTGAACATGAATAGACCTCTGCTTTGGTGCACGAACATCGAAGGCACCACATCGAACACACGTAATGCTGGCTGTGGATAAAGCATAAGAGACTTTTGTTCCCATCATATTTTCCTCCAGCCTTGAAAAGTTCACCTTAGCCCTAAGAAGACCTCTGTTCTATTTTAATCATGGCGTGATGCTGTTATGTTGTTTATCCCACCTGTTCAATCCAAAGTACTTTTATGGGAAAGGGAATTGTTGTTGTTTACCACTTTTTTTGAATCCCTTTTGTTTTTAATGAAATGTTCTTCCACCTTTTGTTTTGATCCTGTCAGCTGATGATGATTTTTGTTTGCTTGACGTGACGTTCTGGTCTGTCGCCCGCATCATTCTCTAATCCGATTATGTGAAGCAGAACAATGTACAGTTTGTGCCATTTTAATCATCAGTCCCAGGTACTGGGCTCAGTTAGATTTACAGTCAGTTATAGACCAAAACACAAAGCAATTTGCTCAACATATCTTAGTCGAGGTACTTTTAACCAACAATTAGTTTGTGCTTGGACACATTCGTTTGTGTAGATTAGATTGAACCATTTTCAGATGAAAATAATTAATATGGAAGAAAAACACATAAAGAAAGAAAGAAGTTGCTAAATAAATCTGGATAGAAGTTGCAAAAACATCCATCTATAAACAGTTTTTCAGCCAAGACATTTTGCATTGGAAAATCAAATTCTTCACATTCATAACTTTACCTGGAAAACAAAGCAGCAGCTGTGCTGATGTTTATATTTTTATTATTTCCACCAATACAATCAGTTCCCTAAATAGGCACCTATACAGCTGAGCACCAGGAGAAATATTAGCTTGCCAAGCATAATCCTTCATTCATCTATTCAAACTAGAAGATCTCTCTCTCTCTCTCATATATATATATATATATATATATATATATATATATATATATATATATATATATATATATATATATATATATATATATATATATATATATATATATATAGCTCAACCATCATTAAATGTGTTAATAGTAGTCATAATTATCCTCAGATATTTCAGTCAAGTTACCATAAGATTTTTCCTCTGTGCCAGAGGAGGCATCAGATATTGCCATGTTTTCTAGACTTAATTATAGTCTGGCAGCCCATGCATCATGTATGTCATGTAATCTGTGATTTGGACAACAAATGACAGTCTCATTTATTTTTATTTGTGTTTGAAAATCCATCAGTCCCCATTTTATTAAATTTACTCACCTTTTTTACTGTGTGAAAAATGACAAACTCCTGACGTTGCACTCCTGATAGAAGAACATAGTTTTAAATTTAGTTCAGGGTTTCCCCCCCCCTCCCTAAGGATTAAGATGAATACTGTACTGACAAAGTTGTGTAGAGAGCTGGATACACAAGGCCACATTCTGGGCTGAAATTAGACACTGGTTCAAATATAAAGAGTTGTTTTGGGTTACTGTACAATCTGTTAAGAGAGATAGTCATCTTAGACGTCGCTCTTCTTGTTTTTCCTTTTCCCACATCTGTCCTGCAGAACAGTTTGATGACAGTGTAGTAACAGTGTTTCACAAATAACTTCATTCCTGTTGGTTTGACCTTCATTTAAAGGGAGGTCGATTCTTACACATACCATAATAAGCAGCTGAAACACAGTGATTATGATTATATAACTAATAACATCTACTAAAACCTGCACATGTGCTGTGAAGTTCAGTCTCAGCTCTCTCATCAGTCTCGTTTCCAGCAGCAGCGTGCAGCCGTCTCACCCAATAAGATCAGTTAAACCCACTGTGTGCTACATGGCTGGCACCAAAGAGCAGACAGGCAAAATCGGTGATATTTAGCTAGTTCTCTAAGTAGTATTTTGTACACAGTACATACCTTTGGACAAGCTCTGGTTCACAACTAACACTTGGCTTTTTGACAATATGGCCACCTTGGTAATTACTTAATTCTACAGCTCTCAGCTCCTCCAGCTGGTGTTCAGTCAGTTTAGCTCACTTTATTTGAGCCTCGGTTTGAATTGACAAGAGCAGATGATGATAATTAATCGTTCTGTGGGACAGATCCAGGGGATCTAAAGAAAACTAGATGATGTCAAACTGTTTATTAATTTACAGGACCAAAGTGTAACATGGGTTGAGTTAAGAGTCTTAACGGTGACAGTGCACTTTATTCCAGCTTTTATCAACTGCGGAAAAGTAAAAACCCTTTTTACTGTGTATCCACTACATGAAATTATCCTAGAACTGTATTTTTATGCCATTAAATAGTCCATCAATCATCACTATACAAACACTCTTCCACAGTTTATGGGGTTAGGCCATTGTATGTGCTGCCCTTTTTTGTTGTGATACAAAAATACTTTTTTAAAAGTGGTGATGAAAAGTGGTCAGACTGAAATTCGTTGAGCAATGTAAAGAAAAATCATTTTATAAGAGCAAAGGTTTTTAATGTCATCGGCCAGTCACACAATGTCGTGTACATGTGTGTGAATTTTGATGTGTAGGGAAGTGTACATTTTGTATCTCATTAAAAAATATCCAATATTTTTTTCTACTGACATTGCAACTGTAAAAGTGTATTTAGATATTTAACAAACTGTACAATTAAACTGGAATTGTATGATATTTTTGCTGAAGTTGTAAAATAAAAAGGGTTTCTATATTTGGATGAAAACCTGTTTGTCTCTGTACATTAAATACAACTATGAATACATGCCTCCATGTTGGAAGAGTGACATCTAAAAGAAAAGTTCCTCCTATTCCTATTTCAAACCCAAATGAGCAGGTACATGTGTCCTGTTTCTCATCTTTCAAATAAGCAAAGAAATTACTGTTGTGGTTACAGTCATGTCTTTTCTAAGCACTTGTCACCGCTCACTAAATGCTGCCCGACAGCCCTCTAGATTTTTTAACCTTGGCCAAGATTGAAGAAGAAAGAGAAATCAATAGACTGTGCGGGTGGGAGTAAACCTGTCGCTTCATGTGTTTACACATAAGCAAGCCAGCAATTAACAGCAGCCAGAATATTAAATCTGAACATTTCTCCTTTTGCCTTTATATCTTGTCACGTTCATGCTTTATTGCGGCCCATTTTGCTTGTTGACAGCAACTAAATATTTTAGAGCTGAAATTGCAGACTGACCAATCACAGACTTTCTGAAAACTAAAAATTGTTCACGATGTGTATTTAAGCATCAATTTACATGTATTTTCAGGCTTTTTAAAATTCTCATTTCTTTTTATTTCACTATGAGGATCATACACGTTGGAGCCTCAGTTTTAAAATGATTCTGAAACAGAATCAACTTTCCTGCAAACATGATCAGTGGTGGAATAAAATGGATATGTAATGCAGACATAGCTGAGTGATTTTTAGGAATTATTCTGTAGCTCATAATCTTTGGGTAAATGATGTGTTCCCTGCTCTGAATTGCCTACCAGCAGTTTGCAAAATCAACGTAAAACACCCAACAAAGCAACTTCATACTTATTTTTGTAGACCTTCAGTAGTTTGACTTGTTACCAAGGGTGGAAGTAACGAATTGCATTTACTCTAAATTTAACTGTACATTTTGGAGTATTTTTTAAAATGAGTCATTTTATTTACTGCATCCATGACCGCGCAAGACAGGTCAACTGAAAAATGAAGATAAAACTGTGAAAATAGAACGAAAGAAAGAAGCCAAATCAAAAGCTAACACACTTCTAACTGAGATGGCAAAGGTGGCAACCATTAGATCTGCTGAACATCAGCATGTTAGCAATGCCATTAGCTTACTGACATTAGCATTTAACAGCGCCTAAGTACAGCTACACAGAGCCAATAGGGTTGCTGTAGACTCACACAAACACAATGGCTTTGTAGGTGGGATGTGTGTCTGTCTTTATGGACTTCTGCTCTGTTTTTTACGTAAATAGGCTGACACTTCCAGAACACTGGATGGAGCTCGTGTACATCTCATGGTTGCCCGTTGTGGCCCCTCGGAACAGCTATACGTCACTTCAAATGTGTACAGAGAACTTAGTAAAGTCACTATAGTGTAAACAATCGAAGTAAAATTGGATAACTTCACAGATGTCACCAAACTTCACAAATCTCATTAATCTGATGAAATCCCTGTAGGTTTTCTCATCTTAACTTTTCCAACAGAACATTTGCTGGAGCTTTTATAATCTGTGTGAGGCAGCGACCCTTCACAGCAGATATGACAGAGCACCAGGTGGAAAGAGAGGCTGCTCATTCCAGCCGTGATCGTCTCTTCTAAATAACTTCGGCGTGGACGTCTGCTGCCCAGAGCTTTCTAATTTCCTCCCCTTGTCACTTCTTGTTGTAGGTTTTGTATTACTTTAATCGCTTCTGTGACTGATGGTGCAAAAACACACTTTCCTCAAACGTTAATCCCATAATCATTTCCCCTGGCAACCCGCTAACTCTGATAGCTTTCAGGTTTCAGTGATTTATTCGTGGCTGGAGTGATATTGCTTTTGCAAGTCGGCCCATTTCTCTCGGTCTCCTGGGACGTCACATAATGCGCAACTTGTAACAGTGGCTCTGAAAGAGGGAGAATATTTTGGTTTAGTTCACTGTGAGAACACTTGTAGCCTAGATGTAATGGGAGCTTTCACATAATTACACAATCACAGTAAATTGAGAACAGTTTAGCAGTAAAATGCTAATTTGTATTTTTTTAGGTTTTTATTTATTGTATTATTGTTGAAACCATGGATTTACATTTCTCATTGTGTGCAAACTAAACCTATGTTATCTGCATAACAGTTTTCCCATTCATATTTATTTCCAGTTAATTAGCAAATAATCAGCGTTCCCTCAGACTCATGAGCTGTAACTGGGACAGAGATCAGGCTATTACATTAGCACAGTGTTCCACTGAAGATATCCATTAAGTTTCTTTATTGGGCTCAGCACCATTATAAAAAGAAAAAAGCAATCCAATTGTCTCCCATGATTCACTACACCCCACTACCCACCTACCCTCTCTGAGCCCACAGCGCCCTCCAATTATGCAGCAAAACAGAAAGACGTTTTAATGACAGTTGTCACAGCTTTGGTTGCACACATTTCCAGAGGGCAGGGCGCAGTTTACCAGATTCAGAAAAAATTGTTTTATTTAAAACAATCTAAGAGTAGATCTATTGGCAGAGGGACAATGAGCTGTCCTTATACCTCAGCCTGTAATGTATTAAATGAACCTGCAGAGCTACACAGTTATACAGCAAGAAAATATTGGGTTAATGGAATCACAATATGCTCATAGGAAAATTAACATTTCAACAGTTCAGCAGGCAACTATCATCATAACTGCTGTTTTTATGGACTGCAGCAAACATGAAGAAAAGGCAGACAAGCTCAGTGTGAGATTAAATAAAAGAAACCACACAAAAGATAATAAAAAGAAAGTATGAAATATTTAAAAAATTTTCTCATTCCTCTCCCTCCTTCTTCTTCTTCTTCTCCTCACTCACTCAGCTATCAGCCCTCTGCTCCACAGCCTTGTTATCTTGGTCTTGGGTCAGTGAAGGATAATACAACCCCAGTCT